CTTATACAGTTATGTCGTGGACTTTTATCATATATCATATAACTTTTTTTTTTTTTTAATTTTTTTATTGGATGTTTTATTTACATTTCATATGTTGTCCCCTTACCCCATCCCCCACCCACCCAGGAACCCCCAATCCCCTCACACCTCCTCCTTCTTCTTTGTGGATGTAACCTCTATCTACCCCCCCACTCCCACCTCCCCACCCTCAAAACTCCCACCCCCTGGGGCGTCCAGCCTTCATGAGGTCAAGGATCTCATCTTCCACCTGTGCCCAGCAGGGCCCTCCACTCTTATATATTCAGCTAAGGCCCTGGATCCCTCCATAAGTGCTCCCAGGCTGGTGGTTTAGACCCTGGGAGCTGTGGTTGGTTGGTATTGTTGCTCTCCTCATGGGGCCACAAATCCTTTCAGCTCCTTCAGTCTTCACTCTAACTCCTCCATTGAGAACCCCATGATCACTTCAATGGCTAGTTGTGAGCATCTGCCTCTGAATATGTCAGACTCTTGAAGACCTCTGAGGAGACATCCATATCAGGCTCTTATCAGCATGCACTTCCTGACTTCCACATCAGCATCTACCTTTGGTGACTGCACATGGGATGGATACTCAGGTGGAAAGGTCTTCAGACGGCCCCTCCTTCAGTTTTTGTCCCTCGCTTTGTCTCCATATTTGCTCCCTTGAGTATTTTGTTGCTCCTTCTAAGAAGGACTGAATCACCCCCACTTGGTCTTCATTCTTTATGGACTTCATGTGGCCTGTGAGTTGCATCTTGGGCATTTTAAGGTTCTGGGCTAATATCCAATAATCAGTGAGTGAATACCATGTGTGTTCTTTTGTGATTGGCTTACCTCACTCAGTATGATAATTTCTAGTTCCATCCATTTACCTAGGAACCTCTCAAATTCATTGTTTTTAATAGCTGAGTAATACTCCATTGTGTAAATATACCACATTTTTTTAATCCATTCCTCAGTTGAAGGACATCTGGGTTCTTTCCAGCTCCTGGCTATTATAAATAAGGCTGCTATGAACATAGTTGAGCATATGTCCTTATTATATGTTCGAGCACCTTCTGGGTATATGCCTAGGAGTGGTATAGCTGGATCCTCGGGTAATGCTATGTCCAATTTTCTGAGGAACCGCCACACTGATTTCCAAAGTGGTTGCACCATCTTGCAGTCCCACCAACAATGGAGGAGTGTTCCTCTTTCTCCACACCCTCGCCAGCATCTACTATCACCTGAGTTTTTAATCTTAGCCATTCTGACTGGTG